ATCTTAATAATAACTGAAATAAATATGAAATTTCATTACAATATAGCTATTTTTCTAAGATTTTATTTATTTCTCAAATATACAATAGTCGTCAAAAACTCTTATTGGGATTTTTTATCCCACAGTAAATGTTTATTGGGATTATATGTCCCAGGATAAAAGGACGATTTTAGGATTTCTGAGTATACAGGACATAATTTTTTAGCCCAATCTTTCAGTATGAGCAGAAATTTTTGTTGAGACTATTTCCGGTTTTCAAATAAAACTCCGTCCCGAAAGGGTTAACAGTGTCTGCATATCTGTTTGTATACACGCGATCCCTCAGTTTTTAAGGTATCAATATGAAATTTGGAACCGCCGATATCGGACCACTATTGCATACAGCAGCTTTACAAACATCAAGTTCTTCTTGTGAAGGATGGTGAAGCTTCAATTGAACCGAGCTTTTTCCTATTTTTTCTTGTGTTATAATATAATTTCATACAGCTAGAATATTTTGACATCCCTTTACATCTAACAACTAGCAAGAGTAGTGGTATAAAATTTTTGGGTGCACTCAAACTGAGCTGTTAAACAAATACATAATATTACGTTCTTATCGCTCGTTTCAGAGGAATTAAAGTAATTATACATCAGTGGCGCTCATTTAATAACAACGCAATAAAAATCCAAACACGCATGTTTGACTGATAATTCTGCTACTGCGAAAAATATCACACGCACACGAAAGCGGCTGAACACGTACGCTAGATCAACACAAAGAATCGGCATTTAGTACACAGACAGAAACACCTCCAATTTCTAAAATGTTTTCAAGCGAATGGCAAGAAAATTATTTTTTTATTGAAACTGATGAAGGGGAATTTTCCAATTTCAAATTAACTCAAAATAAGCAAAGGAATACGCTTTCTGACCAATATCTTACCGATCTGCTACGCATTAAGGAGTATAAAGGGGAAATCAATATTGATGATGTATTATCGAAACGAGCCATTTAGCCAAAGACTTTATAAATTTTCAAGTATTACACAAAAAGAATTCAATAAACATTTCTGATATTTTTTCCAAATTTGCCAATAATTTTTTTCCCTGAATGTAAAAAAAAAAAAAAATACAGTAGAAATTTGTTCAGCGTACATGGCAGCGAAAATCTATAGCAATGTTTGTGCAGCGCAAACATAAAATGTAGTAGTATTGATAAACTGTTATAAATGTAAGTGTTTATTACTAAAGTCAAATAAAAAAAAAATAAAATAAAAAAAAAAAATTAAAAAATAGTGTGGACTTTTATACTTATTTTTGCTTATATCAAATATGCTGATTAGCAATTTAAATATGTATATTATTGTATATTAACATTTCTCTACAAAGAGATGTTTTATAACTTTTGTTTTAGTATTATACTTAACTATCATTCTGATTACTATTATGTAAAACAATAGGAGGCGAGTACTCACCTTAACATAACGCATCACCTGACGGACATCATCCGTCTTGAAGCGCACAAAACCGTGAAGCTGCACAATTGGGGCTAAAGCTTGCATTAACAAAATGCGCTCATTGTATTCGGGGTGAACAGAACAGAGAACCAAAAATGCATTGAGCGCCTAAATGAAGGCAATAGAAAAGAAAACAAGAAGACACAATTCGGATGCAGATTAGAAGTGTTAACAACACAACGTTTACACTTCACAAAGCGCTTACGCAGACCACGAATAAAAAAGCTAAGAATATAAGTGCTGTAAAAATCAAAATACGCTAAGAACACATGTAAGTAAATATGCAGAAATTCTCAACAACAACATTCCGAACTGTAACTAATCGCAATTACTATACCTGTGAGTGTCCAATAAGTATTAACTTGTGAAAAGAGGTTGCTTTTTCAATGTGATCCATTATGGCGGGAAGGTCATAGGCACCCATTTCATGGAAGCTGAAACTCCAATAGTCCAGCGTTTTGCTTTCGAGTTGCGAGGAACTGCGCGCATATGGAGAGCCACGAAAATTTGCAAGCCAAACATCGTAGTTACGGTCGGCCAGCAGAAAGGCTACGTTTGTTTGAACACAAGTGGAAACTTAAACGAATGTGTATATGCATGTGATTTGCATTTTGTGAGTATGAGTGTAAATGCAAATAGTGCAACTTGGATGACATTCGCCACTTTTAGCAGTGCGAAACAAAGTATTTAACTGACCTAGACTCTTTCCCGGGCCGAGTAGTACCCAAGCGAGTGATGATGTCAACAAACCATGTACCAACAAAATGGGCTGATTGCCTGGTTTGGGTATGCGATGCAACAGAAGCTCATATCCGTCAGTCGTGGTGATATTGTGTACTTCTACGGCGTATTTGTGTTTCACCAGCCAATCCGCCTTTGTTTATAGAAGTAGAAGTGATGACACATGTGTTCACAACAAAAAAAAAAAAAAAAACAAAAACGTCAATTGCAAATCTAAATTCAGAGCAGATGTGTACCTAATCACTAAACCTACCGTTGTCCATTGAGAATGACACTCAGTTTCCTTATCGTATCTTTCCCCATCGACAATGTCATTCCTTCCGAACTGTGTCCACAATAACGGTTTAGGCAAAGGCAGTTGTAAATGCGGCGCACATGCCAATGTGAAATTAATAAAGGAAATATGTTTCCTTTCATTTTCCTTGTAATAAATTAGTAGTAGTAAGGTTTGGAAAAATATTGTTTTAAAATTATAACCACGCGTTAGCATCTTCTTTACAAACTGCTTAAAAAATTGTGTACTAAAGATTAGATTGATTTCTTTTGTTCAAAACCGCAACAAGTAATGTACTTTAGGTGCCCGTGGTCAAAAAATAATTAAGTAATGCGATACTTGGGCTGTTGAATATGGGATTTAATTTTTCTTCTCCATTAATGTTGGAAATTTAATTACACAATTTTTATTATGACAATTGTGAATGAAGATCTAACAAAATCTACCAAGCAGCAAATGCTACAAAACGTCCACGTTTTTCCATCCACGAACCAACGTATAGAATGAGATTGAGCGTTCAGTGAACCATCTAACAGCATAATCTACTAATGATAATTACTGTTCTGGTAAACTTTCTGTTTAGTAAACAGTATAATAAATATATCAATAAATTAATCTAACTCATTTATTTCTTTTTTTTTTTGTATTATACATTTAGAGAGAACCTCATTTGCTTAATTTTTATGGCTATAGTTATAATTACACCCTAATTTTCAAGCTATGTACTACTTGTATATCTTAAAATTTAAATCGCAATATACATATACTGGGTAAAACTTCTGCTGACTGAATTTTGTATTTTCGAATGATTGGGACAAGCGGACAGTAACCAATCAACGGACCTCCCTCTGATCTCTGGCCGTTATTAATGACGAAATAAGTTGAAATTCGAGTGTCTGCCTGTCCAAGTATCTATTTGTCCAAGGGATAATTTGAGTAAAAATGGATTATCTTAATCAAAATTAGCACCAACAAGTAAGGAAGGGGTAAGTACGGGTGTGACCAAACATTTTATACTCTCGCATGGCAAGTTTCATCAAGATATCTCAATTTTTACTCAAGTTACAGCTTGCACGGACGGATAGACAGACATCCGGATTTCAAATCTACTCGTCACCCTGATCACTTTGGTATTTGTAACCATATATCTGACGATAAATACCGTTATTAGCAACTTTATTGCTAAAAATGATGCCCTCTGAATTACATGAAATTATCTGAGAGATTTACAGATATTTTCGGTGAAAAATTAGGTTAGGTGAGGTTAGGTACTGAGTTCTTCGTGTTCGACATCAGGAACCTTGAGAAGTTATAGCGATCGCGACAATTTTTCCACAAGGGATACCTCAGCTCAAGTACCGTATTTGTGTAAAACGCTACCGCTACCGTCATTGGTTCCTAATGTATATATTATACAGAGAAGGTACAGATTTCAGCCATATCTCGTACTTATCATCAGGATGTTAAGAAAACTTTGTTGCGAGAGCATAAAAAATTGTTTTTAGTGCAGATGGGCGTAATCGGAAAATTGTTACAACCGCAAAATACAATTAAATAAAGTCCTATAACTATGGTAGCCTCAAGTTAAGATACCCAACTGTAATTAGATACAAGGAATCGTATAGAGGGGATTTGTGTTTAAAAGTGATATGAAGCAATGCTCATAAAAACTTTAAAGTACATATTTCACAACTCGCTAAATTTATATCAATCAAATCCGCTCAAGACAAACCTTTTCGGGCCATATAAATGTGTGTGATGGGTGAAATCCAATAAAAATAAATTACTTCAAAATAATAAGTTTTATAATTAAGACGGAAAAGAAGGGCTGCAGAAGCCAGTATCAAGTTTGGTAATGAGAGTGGCCCGCTAAACTTTATTTTGAATATAAAAAGTATATTGATACCTTATAATAGAAATTTTAAACCTCATATATGAATTTTAAACCTTCGTATATAATATAACTAGCTAGGTTATAATATTGGATATACCATTATTTAATACCGAAAATGTGTGGAATTGCCTCGGCTTCCCTATACTACATATGTATGTATAATGATTTTCGTTGATTTAGCAGACTTTGACCCTCCATTACTAACCTTAGGGTCGAATCGCAAACTTTTTAAATAAAGAATATTTTTTAATGCAAGATATATGTGTAATCTAAATTTGTACATATTTAAACGTTTATAAACAATAAGAATAAGAAACATGTAAAATATTATGCATAAAAAATTTGTTTTAAAAAATAGCCTGGGTCGATTAGACCCATAGTTAGCAATAGTGTAATAAATATTATGGGTCTATTAGACCCAGGTTAGTTACAACGTTTAAAAAAGGATTACGAAATAAATAATACACATCGTATATAATAAATTAATTACATAGCAAGGCGTCAGAATTCTTTAAGTCTGTAGATTTCGTTAGGTGTTCGTCAACACTTATTATTCAATTTGCAATTATAAATGCACACTACTATTAGGTCGTTGTTGGTACTTTTTATTATATTTCGACATATTTCGTTAAACAAATGCAAGTGAGAGATCTTGTGGCTAACGGTATATGAATAAAACAATACGTGTTTGTGTGTCACATTCATGCGAAAACGATTTGCAGCACGTGCCCGATTGCTACACTTTGCTTCTTTTTGCGATTATTGAAATTAAGACGTAATTCTTCATCGCAATGTGTACCTATAATGAGCATATATATTATAACGGTAGTTATCAGGTGTGGTTATTTCCAATTGTGTTACGGAGTTTCATTGAAGTAGTTGAGCGTTGTACATGTTATCAGTTCGCGGTTATTTTTCGAAAATAAAAGACTATTATTGGTGCTTGTGCAAAATTTTAAAATGAATTCTTATGAAAGAGAACAAGAGCGATTGATTGCCTTTTTAGCTGATGTATCAAATGACGAAGATATAATAGATGATTGCTTCAGTAATACTGATAGTGATGATGAACTTTTTAGTAATCATGTGTCGGAAACAGAGCAAGAACTAGATGAACACAATAGTAATTCTGTCCAAAGCACAACAGACAAATATATTGGAAAAGATGGAACAATCTGGAATGCAAGAGCCTATAAAGCAACTCGAACGCCTAGAGAAAATATTTTTACTGTAACTAGTAAATTAACGGGATTTTCGAGACATGTTAAAACACCAAGTGAGAGTTGTGACTTATTTTTTTCATTTGTGGATAGGATTGTAGAATACACAAACATCTACATATAAAACAAAAATTCAACAGAAATACAAAGATTTAAAACATGCTCGTTTAACTGATGTCCATGAATTGAACGCACTTTTCGGACTATTGTATTTAGCTGGACTGCACAAATTTTCTCACGTTAATGTCCGAGACATATGGTCCACGGATGGGACAGGTCTTGAAATATTCCCAGCCACAATGAGTTACAATCGTTTCCAGTTCATATTACGATGCATTCGGTTCGATAATATTGAAAATCGTGAGGAGAGACTCAACATCGACAAATTGGCACCAATTCGCGAAATCTTCGAAACTTTTAATAACAATTGCATGCCAACTGTGGCAGTTTTATAACAGTGGATGAGAAATTGGAAAGCTTCCGCGGAAGATGCAGTTTTAGGCAATACATACCAAGTAAGCCCGCAAAATATGGTATAAAAATTTTTGTAGCAGTTGATTCGGAAACTTACTACACACCTAAGTTAGAAGTCTATTGCGGACAGCAACCACTTGGTCCATTTAATATTTCGAATAAGCCCGAAGAGGTGGTTAAGAAAATAACAAATCATCTACAACACGCTGGGCGCAATATAACAATAGATAACTGGTTCACAACCTATTCATTGGCAGAGTTTTTGCTATCAAAGAATACCACATTAGTTGGAACTATCCGAAAAAACAAAAGATTCTTGCCACCCATATTTTCAAACGCTAAAAATCGCGAAGTGTATTCAACAATCTTTGGCTATACAAAAAATCTACAATTTCCTCTTACATACCAAAAAAAAAATAAATGCGTCCTTCTCCTCTCAACGTTTCACAAGACCGGTAATTTATTAGATGGTCCTAAGTGCTTGCCAGAAATCATAGATTTCTACAATCATACGAAAAAAGGAGTGGATGTAACTGATCAGTTAGGTGCTGGATATAGCGTAGCCAGAAACTGTCGGCGTTGGCCTTTAGTAATATTTTATTCACTTATGAATATGGCTGCTATAAATGCTAGAGTTATTTTACTCTGTACTCAAAACACGGCTGCAGAGTACAAAAAAAGATCCGTTTTTATAAAGGATTTGGCAATGGATCTTGTACAGGCAAATATTCAACACCGTTATAAAATATTAACTTTTCCAAAAAATCTGAAAGCAAGCTGCTCAAAATTTGCAGAGCCATTGAAGGAGGTGGAGGAACAAGAGCCACCTACGAAACAATTGCAAAGAGGCCGCTGCCAGATTTGTGATTACAAACAAGATCGCAAAACCAAAACCACGTGCTCCAAATGTGGAAAATATATTTGATAGAAGCACTGTTGTATACTGTGCTCAAATTGCATTGCTTCCCCCCAAGAGAAAAACGTTTATGACGATATGTTCGATACAAATTCCGAATAAAAGGTAACATTTACAGTACATAATTGAAAAATTTTTGCATTAGTCACTCGAATTTTTCTTTTTAACATTTTACGTTTATATTTCAGGTTTCAAATGCACTTTATTTGAAGTCAATATCTTTAAAACTTATCATTTTATGCGGAATCTGGCTGGATAACTTTTTTTCACTTTTTTAGTTATGTATGTTGTAGTGAATACAAATTTAATTTCAATTTAAGTATATAAATTAATTTTTTAACACATCATTTTATAAATTTAACAATAAAGTACTACAATATACTAAAAAACGTTTTAGCAATTTATAAGTTTAAACGATTTTAATAGATAATACAAATGAGAGTCGATAAGACCCATGGTTAGTAACTATGCGACATGATTTCAGGTTAGTAATGCAGGGTTAGTGGCCAACCAACTGGTCTATCGTATCAGCATCTGATGTAGATTTGTTGTAGAAGTTAATTATTTTAGAGAATTGCTTCTCACTTGCCGTTGTCGCTTTATCACGATGGAAAGTACTAAAAACATTGGGAAGTTTGGAGTTTTGGAATATACTGAACCAACGATACTTTGCTACTGAAGAAAAATTTGCCTTGGTGAACTCGACGCTTTCGAAGTTCTCTTTTGTTAGAATGTCTTATTTGCTCTTACACTTCTACTTGTAATCAAAGTATTAGCAAATCCGTAGCAAAAATTTTAGATCCTTACCAAGTCAAAAACAACTCGTTTGCTTTGATTTGATTCTGGTATCGTCGTATATTGAAGTTTGCCATTATAAAGGTGCATTCAAAAAAAGCACGTATTGACGATATATGGCTAGTAGCATATCAGATTATATCGAATTTCAATAGGATTTGTCTTACTAGTTAGATGACTTCTTTATCATCGTCGTCTTCTACATTCATTTAAGGAATTTCATGAAAATCGGAAATAAACTCTGATTCGGATTCAACACCAACAGATTCGTCGTTGCCTCGAAGCATATGTTCACATAAATGCAAAGCACAAATAAATCATGTTCAAAGGATTCTAAAATAATACACATTTTTGATTTTAATTTTGTTTACAGAAATATTATATTTCTTTTAAACAAAAAGTATAATTGCACACGAAACGCAACTAAATTTTTGAATTTCTTCCAAAATATAAACATATATTTACGATGCTATTATTTTAAATATAAAATGCAAAACAGAGATTTTTAGAGGTATTTGTTTAAATTTATCTGTTATGGCTCAAAAATGCCTGAAATTTCACACGAGAAAATAGTTAATAATGGATCTCTTTTTCACTTCAATTCTCAAAAGCTCAGTTATGCTTATATAGCAGATTACTGCATAGGCAAACATGTGAAACATCGCTCATCATAAATGAACAAGCCAAATTGAAATGCAGTGTTAGCAATTTAATGGGGTTTCCCTTAATTTGGGGGTTAAAAGAGTTGAGTGGGATTTTTTAGGGCTGTTATATGGTTAGGGTTTTTTTTACTTTGAATATTATTGTTATATTAGAAAACGAGCTTACAAATTACGATCAAATCGAGACGTACATAGCAAAGTGAAGTTATTGGGCAACTTTTATATTTTAACAATTTGACATATTTCGGCAATCTGCTTCTGGCTTCTAGAGCAAGTTCCAGGAGGAAGTCGTCAAAATCTTTAATTAAGGCGCTGTGAGAAGCATAGCAGCTAATGTCACGTATATGATGAAAAAATTAGGAGAACTGGTTGTTTTATACATATCCATATTGCAGCCTTGCAAGATATGTCCGTAGTTCAAGTGCTTTTCG